TTGAAATACTACTTTGTGTAGGTGCTGGTATTCAGTGGTGAACAAAACAGACATTTATGTCTACCTTTATTGGTTATATGATTCATTGGGAGAGATATTTTTGTTGTTGTTGTCTTTTTGTGTGTGTATGTGTGTTTCTGTTTTGAGTCAGAGTCTCTGTCACCCAGGCCAGAGTGCAGTGGCATGCTCATGGCCACTGCAGCCTCAACCTGCTGGGCTCAGGTGATCCTTCCTACTCGACTTTCCAAGTAACTGAAACTACAGGCCATGCCCACTTAATTTTTTTGATTTATTGTAGAGTCAAGGTCTCACCAAGTTGCCCAGGCTGGTCTCGAACTCCTGGAGTCAGTCATCCTCTTGCTTTGACCTCCCAGAGTGTCGGGATTATAGCCGTGAGCCACCACGCCAGGCTGTGTGTGGCTATTTTGTTACACTTCAGCAATTGATTCTTAAAGACTTGTTTCTCCATGGGAATACTGTTACTTACCCACCAAGGTTATTTTCAGAGATACACATATTTTCCTGCCTCTTGTCTCTAGTCTATCTTCCACTTTTCCTGCCCCTTCTACCATTCTAGGTATGCCATGAACACTTTTAATAAGTGTTTAGTTTTTTAAAAATGACCATACAAGTGATCTATTATACAACATGGTGACTATAGTTAGTAACAATGTGTTATATTTTGAAAATCACTGAGAGTAGATTTTAATTGTTTTCACCATAAAAAATAATATGTGAGGTAAATACATGTTAAATTAACTCAATTGAATCAATGCACAGTGTTATTTCAAAACAACATGATGTACACGATTAATATATACAACTTTTATTTGTCAATTAAAAATAAAATAACTTGTTTTAAAGTGACTACATTATTCAGAAATATTAGTGACCAAGTCTGGGCAAGAATATTGCATTGAGTGTTCCATCTTACAGACTGGTGTTTTGTACACAAGGGTACCAATTGTTGGTGTCACTGTATGTCACTATACTATATTAAAACATTGAAATTCTGCTTTTAGTTTTTCTTATAGTGGTAGCAGATGATAGAAACAAAAGGAATAATTGAATCCTATGTAGGTAAAAACCTAGTGATTACTATTGTACTATGTTGCTTTTAAGAATACATAACATAGCCGGACCTCATCTCTACAATAAATCAAAAAATCAGCCGGGCGTGATAGCGCATGCCTATAATTCCGGCTACTCGGAAGGCTGATCGCCGGAGCCCAGCAGGTCGAGGCTGCGGTGGCCGGGAGCGGCCACTGCACTCCAGCCTGGGCGATAGAGTGAGACTCCAACTCAAAAAAAAAAAAGAATACATAACATGTTTTTTTGCATTTGGCTATAAACAAATGGTGGTAAAATACACTGAGTTTATTTACTATTACAACTTACTTCTCAAAGAATCATAGTTTCCAATACCATTGTGTTTATTTTATGAAAATTCACAAGAGGACAAAGTTAGTGCTTCCAGTATTTTTATTTTAAGTATTTCAACTTTGTACATTTGTATTTTACTAATTTGCATTTTCTTAACTTACCTGATTTCATTGGTATAGTTTTATATTATCAGAATATTTTAAAGTTGCTCTAGTAAGCGTCTTAAAATACAGTTGAATTTTGAGTAAATTTTTTCAAATGTTAAATTGAACTTCTTAAATTCAGTAGAAGTACAGTGCTACTGACTTTTTACTCTGAATGAAATGTGATTTTGAAGAAAAAATTTATCTCACTTTTTTTTCCTACAAACTGTAGCTATAATATCACAGGACCTTGCTGGGAACCTTCAGTAAGTTGTCCTTTTCTTTTTCAAACTTCACATCAGTCTTCCATGCATGTCGTGGTGTCTCAATTGTCTTCTGATAACTTCTTACTGTCAGTCCCCCTTGCCAGTGCTGACTTAACTTTGGCTTGTATTTTATTTACTAAGTGGATTGCCCTGGAAATTGTCTTTCCCATTCCATGCCTGTGATTACTCAATGAATGCTCCCCTCAGCAACACCTTAAAATGACCTTTTAAAAAAGATGTTTTTTCAGTTTTATTTTGTTTTTTGAATGACTTAAATGCCACAGCTACTTAGTTTTGTGTGTCAGGATGTCAGGTAGAAATGACACATCTTAATCAGTTTTGGAATTGGTTCTTGACAGTATCATTAACATTTTCATCTTTTGAGCACATGTTGTGGTCATGATATTATTTCTAAGCATAATTAATGGTTACGTAAGATTAAAATTAAGTTCATGAAATAGTTTGTTTTTTTTTTAAGGTTTGCAAAAAGCAACATTTTATGTTTATTGTATGAGGTATTACTGATGTAATAATTGAGAAATATGTTTAATCCTTAATTGCCAATTAAGAGATCCTGGAAATGGATTAACTTATTTTTGAGTATGTATTATCAGAAAAGTAGTACTTTGTTTCCTTTTATAAACATTTTGGAAGCAAACCACAGTATTTATAACTTTTATAGGAAAGTAAGAAGTCTTAAAGTCAAAACTAGGTTTTGTGTTGAATATACTTAACTTTCTCCCAACAAGTTGTTGTACTGGACCAAAATTTTTATTTTTTAGACAAAGGGTCTTGTTCTTCATGAACCAGTACTTTAGGAAGGCACCATTCAAGTTTTAATATTCAGATTTCTCTTCCTTTTACAAATCAGCCCATTAAATATCACCTCTTCTAGAGTGACCATGGGGATTGGGGACCTTCCTGTTGAATGATCTCCACATAACCCACTTAGAACTTCCCTGTTACAATGTTCTAGGACTATCAAGGTACCATTCCGTTTTCATTAATGGATAAGGGCAGAATATTGCCAGATTTCTTAAGCTCTTGAGATCACATGTGATTCTCAGTTATTTAAGCTGTGTAGGATACCCATTTACTGAATACCTCTTTGGACAAATTTTTGAAATACATAGGGTAAAGAATGAAAATCTTAATTCTGATCTATCTTTAATCATGTACCTTGAGAATTAACTTACTGAAGTTTAAACTGTTTTTTCCTTCTGACTACAAATTACTTCTACTACATACAAAACATTAGTATTTTGAATGCCTTTTTATAATAATTTTATTGGGTTTTTTTCTTTGTTTTTGCTGAGGGCTAGATATTTAAATCTCTACTCTTTTAATACAACTTGTTTTTTTTTCTTGCCTGTCAATCTGCCTTTTCCAAAGGCTATCATTGAAGGCACTGTTGATACTTGATGTTTTTAACATTATTTTTTAAATGTCATTTTTAGTGCTACTGTATTTAGTTGATATGTTAGGTAATTGTGATACCAGAGTGAGCACACATACCAACAACTGATATATTTAATTAAAACTGTATTTATAATATGTTTTAAACTTTTAACTGTGTTAGTGTTTATGTGTTTGCATGGCATATTTTATGTTTAAGGAAGAGGCATTATTTAGGTGTAACTTCCAAAAGCTTGACTTGGCAATGATAGCATTAAGAAGGTTTGACAATGCATGGGTCCCAGTGTAACCTTTCTGACAAATATATTAATGAGTAAATCTCTTTGACCTTTTGTATTTTTTCTTCAGTTAAAAAGTTTGAAGTTTTTTCTTTTTTCTTTAAAACTTATTCCAACTTGTTGAAAGCATTATATTAATCTGATAACATTATTAAAAAATTATTATTCAATGATCTTCTGACTCTGAGGTGTTATATGCATAACAGAACCTAAATTTGTAATTCAGTTAAACTATCTTCCCTTTTTTTTTCTTTTTTTTGGTTTTTGTTTTTTTTTTGAGTCGGAGTCTCACTCTGTCGCCCAGACTGGAGTGCAGTGGCCGCTCCTGGCCACCACAGCCTTGACCTGCTGGGCTCCAGCGATCCTTCTGCCTCAGCCTTCCAAGTAGCTGGAACTACAGGCGCGTGCTACCATACCCGGCTAATTTTTTGATTTATTGAAGAGATGAGGTCTCACCAAGTTGCCCAGGCGGGTCTTGAACCCGCGGGCTCAGGCAATCCACTCACCTCAGCCTCCCAAAGGCGCGGGATTACAGACTGAGCCACCGAGCCCGGCTTCCTTTTTTTTTCAAAGATAAATTTCAAGATAGTATGCCTTTTCTTTGTTGAATTTATTTCAGAATATCCTTTGCCTTCATCCATGTGTGTAAGTTTAGTTAGAGAATTCTGTTCTGCTATTTGGTTTTGTTTTGTTTGTCTTTTGAGCCAAGTTCTTACTCTGTCACCCAGGCTGGAGTGCAGTGATATGATGTTGGCTCACCACAGCTTTGACCTCCTGGGCTCAGGAGATCCTTCTGCCTCAGTCTCCCGAGTAGCTGGAACTACAGGCGTGAGTTACTTACTCTGTCTGGCTAATTTTTTATATTTTTTTGTAGAGACGAGGTCTCACTGTGTTGCCTAGGCTGGTCTTGAATTCCTGACCTTAAGCTGTCCACCTACCTCTGCCTCTCAAAGTGCTGGGATTACAGGTGTGAGCCACCATGCCTGGCCTATCTGTATTTCTTTTTGTTCTTTAATGTTAATATTCTTTTATTTAAAAATAGAGACATGTAAGGAATTAAAAAAATGTTTCCACATTATAGCAACATATACATACATATACAAACATTAAAACAAAATGGCTGTATATAGTCATTTAAAAATATTTCTGGATTTAGCACAAATTGGTTGCTTGCTTGTTCTTATACTCCTTCTTTTTAAAAATCTCTTCAGAAAATATAGTTTCTCATGCTTAGATTCAAAATTTAAAAAAAATTTTAAGATAGAGTTTTTAAAAAGTAACTTGTAAAATGAAAATTAAATAAAGTTAAATTATAGTTCAGAGATTTTCATGAACTATTTGGAAGAAGCTTGATATGACTAATGATCTGTTTCATGGAGACCTTCAGTTAAAGTGTTAGAAGCCACTTATGTTTTTGACACCAGAGCTGATGATTTTCCTTTAGGTGAGTAAAAAACGTTTTACTCTAACATTTTGGTGCCAGATGAAGAACCTTTCCTGTTTATAACTTACAGCTTACCAGCCATGCAACGGAACGGAGCCCCAGCCACCCAGGAGAGGATGCTGTGGCGACTTTTGCTGATGTTGGATGGGTAGCCACGGAAGGAGGCGAGTGCTCAGCAAGAGTCAGGTTCGTTTGGAAGGCTTTCGAACTGAGATGTAATATCTGTTATTCTAAAGGATGATATTTTCAATTCTTACTTTTAATTGCCTAATTTGATCTCTAGTAACTAACCTGCTTTTCTTTCTTGAAAATCTTCTTTTTTTTTTTGAGTAGGCGTCTCACTCTTATCGCCCTAGCTATAGTGCAGTGGCACGCTCACAGCTACCACAGCCTCAGTCTGCTGTGTTCAGGCGATCCTTCTGCCTCAGCCTTCCAAGTAGCTGGAACTACAGGCATGTGGCTAATGTTTTGATTTACTGTAGAAACAAGGTCTTGACAGGTTGCCTATGTTGGTCTTAAACCCCTGGGTTCAGGCAGTCCTCTCGCCTTCACCTCCCAAAGTGTTGGGATTACAGGTGTGAGCCACTATGCAGTCTTCTTTTCTGTTCATTTTTAAAACTCAGCTAATATTTATAAAGTGCATAGAGATATGTAATTGTATCCTGAGTGCTTATGAATTAACAGAATTCCTTGCTCTTCAGAGATTTACATTCTGATACAAGAGATTGATTAGAAAGAACTATCATAAATATGTTTAGTTAAGGGCCAGGCATGGTGGCTCAGGCCTGTAATCCCAGCACTTTGGGAGGCGGAGGCGAGAGGATTGCCTGAGCACAGAGGTTTGAGACCTTATCTCTACAAGAGATCCAAAAATTAGCTGGGCATGGTGGTGCATGCCTATAGTTACAGCTACTTGGAAGGATGAGGTGGAAGGATCAACTGAGCCCAGCAGGGCGAGGCTGAGATGGCTGTGAGTGTGCCACTGCACTCCAACCTGGGTGACAGAGAGACTCTGATTCAAAAAAAAATTTTTTTTTAGATAAGTGTAGTCATTATAGTGGTTTCATTGGGACAGAGGGATCCATCTGGATCATAGTAGGGAGTTTGTGTAATTGGAAAACGTTTCCTAAAAATTGTGAGTCAAGGTGAGTAGTGACTCAAAGGAGGCAATGTGTAAAAGTTAAAGAGGTGTTCCCCTTTATTTGAAAGAGCACGAATGGAATGTTGACTACACATTCAATCTAATAACATATTTTCACTTTTATTAGGCATTAAGGATGCAGAGATAAAATAAAACACAGTCCTTGCATTCCAGGAATACTTGGTGTTTTAAAGGAGATTAAAAAGGAAACCAATATTATTGATATTATAAAGTTTGCTATATAATTACAGGTGGCCACTAGAACGAGAGGTGTCAGCAAGGCTGCTCAGGAGGGAATGCTGGAGCCGCATGATAAGGGGCCAGTAGGAGCCGTGCGGATAGGAAGCCTATATTCGAGAAAGAGTAAAGTACTTGTTTAAAGGTAGAATCAGGAGACAGTGTGGCATATTTGCGAAATGCCAAGTGGCTTAGTGAAACTAGAGAGTAGCAGAGAAGGGTAAACTCTGGGAGATGAGGACGGGAAGTAGGCAGAGGTTTAAAGGTCATACATGTTACACTAAGAAATTTGAACTTTTTCTGAAAGCATTGTGGAGCCATGGAAGAAAAAGTATAAGCACCGGAGTAATATGATCAGATTTGTATTTTAGTAAAATTAACTTGTAAGCGGTGTGAAGTACAGAAGGGAGTCAGACGAGGGTATGTCAATAGATGATTACAATTTGACTCAGTGAAGAAACTGACAAAAGAGGGTGAAAGCTAAGAGAGCGTGAGAAGAATTGAAAGGGCTTAGAAACTTATTAGATATAGGGGTTAAGGAAGGAAGAGTCTAATTAGCTAGAGTCTGGTCATCCTAAACTCCCAGGTTTCTGGTTAGGATGATTTTTTTTTTGAATCAGTCTCACTCTGTTGCACAGGCTGGGAGCGCAGTGACACGCTCACGGCCACCCCAGCCTCAACCTGCTGGACTCAGCCTTCCAAGTAACTGGAAACACAGGTGTGCGCCACCACGCCCAGCTAATTTTTTTCATTTTTTGTAGAGACGAGGTCTCGTCAAGTTGGCCAGGCTGGTCTTGAATCTCTGCACTCAAGCAATCCTTCTCACCTCTGCCTCCCAAAGTGCTGGGATTATAGGCATGAACCGTGCTGCACCTGGCTTACGATAATTATAAGGATGGTAGAACCATAGGGAATATGGGAAAACAGATTTTTTTGGAGGGGGTGTAGTCTAGTCTGGAATATATTACGTTTACGTTTTCTGTGAGACGTTCACATTGATCTACAAACAATTTATGTGACTGGAAGTCTTGCACTCTGTAACATGTAGATAGAAAGGCAGAAAATGAGAGCACCAAGGAGCATGTATAGAACTGGAAGAGCACTTGTACTCTGGATGAGGTCAGCATTTGGAAGTTAAAAGAAAAAGCCTCCTCCACCCCCAGACCCTGTTTTCAGGAGGCTGCAGCAGAACTAGTTAGAGAGTAGTGTTATGGAAGCAGAGGAAGTAGAGAGAGGTTTTTGTTTTTGTTTTTTTTTTTGAGTTGGAG